CCCTGGCAAAGAGAGGCTTTCCTGCTTGAGCGCATGGTTGGACTAGACCAGTGGTCCCCAACCACCGGGCAATGGACCAGTACCGGTCCGTGGATCATTTTCTACCAGGCTGCCGGTTTGCTGGGCGCCGCCATCTTGTTTCGACGAGAAAGTGCTTCCGGGTGAGCTTTTCTGGTTGGAAAGCGGCGTTTGGGTCCTGAAGGAATCCTTGCGCCTTAGTTTCATCGAAGGGGCGGGCGGTTTCGAACGAAGAGCCGTCCTGATGGCGGAGATTAAGAAAGCACAAAAAAGGTACAAAGGAGGAGTTGAAGGTGGCGGGGAGAAGCGGGGGACGGCTGACTGGCCGGTCGCTCGGTTCGCCCTGCCTTGGTCATGTGTGCTGATGCCGGTACCAAGCTGTGGATCATTTTGTGATGCTGGTACCGGGCCATGGCACAAAAAAGGTTGGGGGCCACTGGACTAGATGACCGCCAAGGCCCCCTTCCAACTCTGTTATTCTGTCATTCAGAATGATAGGAGCACCTCCTTACCAGAGGTGGTATTCAGCAGGTTGTGACCAATTTTGGAGAACCAGTAGCAGAAATTTTGAGGAGTTCAGAGAAATGGCAACTACTACCCTTGACTGGCCCTGCCCCCATCTCTTCCCTGCCTCTCGAGTCCCAGCTGATCAGCTGGGTCTTCTTTGGTTGCCCTGCACAGGAGAACGGAGCTGGAAAGCAGGTTAGTGGGGTGGGGAAGGAATGGGGATTTTGTAGTAACCTTCTCCCAGGAGTGGGGAGGGAATGGAGATTTTACATGCCCACCAAGCCACACCCACAGAACTGGTAGTAAAAGTTTTTGAATCCCACCACTGCTCCTCACCAGACGAGGAGGTTATTAGGAAAATTTTAGAATGTGCTGAGGTGGACAGGTTAAAAATAAAAGAAAAAGACGACTCAGAATACTACTTGATACGGAGTAAATTCTATGGCTGGTTAAAGACAAAGGGGTAGAAATTAGAGAAAGAAAACAATGGATGTTTTTTTATTAAAAACAGAGATGGTGTATAGCTACAATATTATGATATTATAAGTATTCTTATTAGAAAATGGGACAATATTTTTTATAATACTAGCTATGGTTCTTATTCTTTGTAAGTAACAGACTTGGACAAAATGGTGTATCTAAAAATGTTTATGTATAAAAATTTAAAATTAAAAACAGAATGTCAGGAACAGACAGGAGCACATCCTCTTTGCTTGCACAACTACACACTAGGTGACATAATGTCACTGATGCTCCGTCTACTCCTAGCAATTCCATCATCTCCACCATCTATTCTGTGAACTTTCTTGCTGTGTTCATCATAAACCACGGTCCCTCCATGCCTCTGCTGACAGTCCTTGGTATCAGCAAATGGGTCGCAAGCTTGCTGCCACATCCAATATTCCTGTATGGCTCTGGGCAGATGGGCAGACCTTTTAACCCCCAAATCAAAGCAATTTCTAAATGGTTCCCTTTGTTCCCAGAAGTCAACCTCAGAGGGTTTCATCTCACTCCAGTGCTTTAGAATAGAGAACTAATTTAAAAAGCATCTGTAAGGAACACTGATGTAGAATGAAAAGAATATCTGACTCGGCATACCGTTAAAACTACAGAGCAGCGTTTTTAGTGGTTAAATGCCGGGTCATTTTTAACCACTGAACTACAAAATCCAGCCTGACGTCTCATGAAATGCAGACTTTGGGCTGTAATGATTTTTGAGGATCTCTACAGAAATCACTGTGGAGTAATATAAGAGGTGCATTGCTCTCAAAAGGCAGGACAAGAAACAATGGATGGAAACTAACTACGGAGAGAAACAACCTAGAACTAAGGAGAAATTTCCTTAACGGTGAGAAAAATTAACCAGTGAAATAACCCTACACCATTTCAAATAAATGGTTGTCCAATCTCTTCTTAAAAGCCTCCAGTGATGAAGCTCCCACAACTTCTGAAGGCAACTTCTCTTCCATCGGTTGATTGTTCTCACTGTCAGAAAGTTTCTCCTTATTTCTAGGTTGAATCTTTCCTTGATCAGTTTCCATCCATTATTCCTTGTCTGGATTTCTGGTGCTTTGGAAAATAGCTTGACTCCCTCCTCCTCTCTGTGGCAGCCCCTCCAATATTGGAAGACTGCTATCCTGTCTCCCCTGGTCCTTCTCTTCCCTAGACTAGCCAGGCCCAGTTCCTGCAACCATTCTTCATATGTTTTAGTCTCCAGTCCCAACCATCCCTGTCCTATTGTTTCTTTTATTTTTTTTATATTTTTCTTATATGTATCCATGTATTCATAACTATGTTTTTACTTATACCTATTATCTTGTAAGCAATTGAAAAATAAATAAACAGATAATCTTGGTTGCTCTTCTCTGCACTTTTTCTAGAGTGTCAACATCTTTTTTTACATTGTGGCGGCCAAAGCTGGATGCAGTATTCCAAGTGTGGCCTTACCAAGGCATTATAAAGTGGTATATTAACACTTCAGTCGTGGGTGCTCCATCCCTGGAGGTTTTCAAAAAGAGACTGGACAACCATTTGTCTGATATGGTATAGGGCAGGGGTCGCCAACCTTTTGGACCTCAGGGACCACCAAGCTCATAATTTTAAATCCTGCGGACCAGAGACCCTGGGAAAATCCCCCCAAAAGTCTGCAGGAAAATTCCCCACCCCATTTTCCTACCGATCGATCATTCTTTATTTGGGATTGCAGGATACTGTCTTCAGCTCCGTTCTCTGGGAAAGAGAGAGAGAGAAACTGTTGGCTTCATGCAAGGAAAGCAGCAGAAGCAGCAGAAGTCTTTCTTTCTCTTCGTGTTCTTGTGCAGCCTGGATTAATTGCTTTGGGAAGTGCTTTGGGGGTGACATTTCTCTGCGGACTACCAAAATTTTCTCACGGACCACCAGTGGTCCCCGGCCCACTGGTTGGCGACCACTGGTATAGGGTCTCCTGTTCGAGCAGGAGGGTGGACTGGAAGACCTCTGAGGTCCCTTCCAACTCTATTATTCTATATTCTAAAGCAATGGATGAGATTTCCAGGCAAACAAAAGAACAAAAATCCCGACAAACTTTGCCACAGTTTTGAAAAGTGTGTGTACAGGTGTTTCACGAATACCAGGAACCGTGGATTTTTCCTTATTAAACTGATTACTTCTCTCAAAATCAATGGGCCATATTTCAGCCCAGCGTGCTGCGTGATTCCAATGCAATCCAGAAGCAGCAATTGGAAGTAAAGGGAATATCGCATCAAAGATTCCACACTTTTGAGAACTTGCCAGCCTTCAAGATGGATATAAACCCCCGTTTGTGCAGGACCTTGTGATTTATAACCTCACTACACAGATTGGAATCACAGAGCACACTGGGCTAAAATATGGCTCATTGATCTGTGATTCACTGTGTCATGTGAATGCGGCCAAGAGAGAGATTAGCCCTCAGTGACAGGTAAGGTGGACTGAGAATCTCTGACTTCTAAACTCTTTGAGCCATTTGTCATATGACTGAGCCAGTCCATATTTATTGCCAGTGCCAGTGTGTGGTTATGTGCATATTCACACTCCAAAAACACTAGAAAGAGCGGCAAATAATGGTTTCGATATGAACATATGCTGTAGCATCTAAGCACGTCAGGCAAAATGTGGGATCCTCTTGTTCATTGATTTTCCCACGCTTAATTCAATTACTCACAGCATGTGATGCAACGAAGAAGCAACTGATTTAATAAAGGCACAGTTTCTGACATTCATGAAACACCTCCTGTACATACAACTGAGGCCAAACTATGTTTTTTCTTCTTTCGTTTGCCTAGAAATCTTTCAAAACTTGTGGGAATGTCTCATTTATGTACAGAAGTACTATCTGTCCTATTGTCATCCAAAGAAGAGGGAGAGGCTCCTTCCTTCCTTCCTTTCCTTCCACCTTTCTCTCTTTCCTTTCTCTCTCCTTCTTTCCCCACCTTTCTTCCTTTCCTTTCCCTTCCCACTCTTCTTCCTTTCTTCCTTTCTCTCCCGTTTCTCCCTCCCCTCTTCTTCCCTTCCTTTTTTTTCCATCCATTTATTTCTTTTCCTCCCCTTCCCCACCCATTTACTTTCCTTTTCTCCCCCCCCCTCTCTTTCCATTAGATCAGATGGTAAAATTGTCTGACAGACCCTTCCAGGGGAGTTTTTAAAAGAATCATGAAAAGAGAAGGCAGCTTTCTCAACCTGGCACCCTCCAACGGGTGGGCTTGGCATCTCCCTTGCCAAGAAGAATTGTGGGAATTGGGACCACCTGGAGACCCCTCTGACCTTGCCAGAGCTCCTAATGTTCCCCCAGAAGGACAAAGGGGGGGTTTCTCCAGGGACTTCAGGATGCCTTCTTAGGGTAATAGGTAGAAACTCAGGGCTTGCCATCTTTGGGATCCTGGCTAGGAAAAGAGGAATGAGGGGAAAAAAAAGATGGGACCAGGGGTCAGGATGCGTCTCTCCACTCCGGAGCGCCCCGCTTTCCCCAGCATTTCGCATGCTTTATTGATAAAAAAGATTGCCAACTCTGTTATTCTGTTCTGTTTTGTTCTGTTTTATATAAGAAATTTGCCGCGCTTCCTCCGGACCTTCTGGAGAAGCGAAGATGGCTGGTGATGAAGCCGCCGTTTTGCCCGGGAAGTTAAAGGAAAAGGGAGCATCGAGGCGCTCGAGGCATGAAGAGCCGAAGGGTTCCCCCGCGCTCCTCCCCGAGGGCATAAAGCCGGCCCCCCTCAGCTCGGCCAGGCGCCACCGTCGTGAGGGGGCGGCCGGCCGGACGGCGCGGCGCGCACTTGCTTCCCGGGCTCGGCCGGCAGAGGGCGAGCCGTGCCCGCGGGCTTGCCCGGCTCTCCCACCTGCGCCAAGCAGGCGAGCGCGCAGGGAAGCGGAACCGGGCGGCCGCCTCCCCTCCCCGCCGAGCCCCAGCGCCGCCTCCCCTACCTGGCGACGAGGGAGCGGCGCCCGACTCCGCCCGCCCGCCCGCCCGCCTCGCCGGGCAGCGGCTGCTCCTCTCTCTCTCTCTCTCCTCACCTTCCGCCTGCCGCTCGCTCTTCGCCGGCCGTTGGGTAAATAAGTCGGGGCCGAGGCCGGGCAAAGGTCGCGCGCGGGGGCCCTTTTCCGAGGAGCGCGCCGGCCGTCGGACCTGCATCGCCCGCCGGGGCCCGTCTGGATTCCCACTACTATCCCCGCCGCCGCCGCCGCCGCCAACACGCAACGCCTGGACGGCCGCTTTTCAGGCTCGCCTTGCATGCTTCGGAGTTGCCTCCGGACTTTTCCTCGGGGCGCCACAGCGCCGCGCTCGGCTTTGCGCCCTTTCGGCTTAGCGCCTCGCCGGCCAGGACATGTCGGTGACGGAGCTCTACAGCAAGGTAAAAGGGAAGGGAAGGGAAGGGAAGGGCGGGAGGCTCGGGCCGGGGCTCCCTGGATCTCCTCGTCCTCCGTCTCCTTTCCCTTTCCCCGGAGCCGCCCGCGGTTTCCCTTTCGCGGCCGGTTGAGTTTGTTCCTGAAGAGGGCAAGTCCGCCTCGCCCGCCCGCTCAGCCGCTTCAGGGCAACCCCGTTTGGAAAGGCTCCGGGGGAAAAAAAATCGCTCTTGTTCCCATTTTCCTGAGGGGGAAAACTGAGGCATGGGTGAGGGGAGGGGGTCGTGAGGGGAGGGGGAGAGATCCAGCAGGCAGGGGGGTCCTGCTGAACTTGGACCCTCCTTTGTGGCGCTTCCAAAAGCTGCTCTGCGTCCTTTCGGGCTCCAGGGTGGTTGTGAGAATGGAGCCGCCTGACCCGCGAGTTTCCGAAAGCCGGGGGGGGGGGGGGGGGGGGGGGGGTGCAGGTGCGGCTCCTACCAAGGCTGATCTCCAGCCTCGGAGGGCTATCCCGGCTCTTCCCACCCCAAAGCGCCTCCTTCTTTCCAGGGCTTCCCGTTGTTTCCCCCGCCGCCGCCCCCCTTGCTTGCTTCGCCTTCCAACTTCTTGGCTAGGAAGTGGCGGATTCCGGCGGTGGAGCCCGAGTGGAGGAGATGAGAGTCCCGGGTCGCCCTCCTGCCGCCTGGGAATCCCGCCTTGGCCCGGAGACCGCCTCCCTCGCCCCTTCTGGCTCTCGGGGACGCCTTCCCGCTGCCAGCCCTTGGCGGTTTTGCAGGGCATCCACTTCGTGCGGATGAGCCTGTGACCTCCCAGCCTAAGATACCTTTCCCACGTTACACCTGGATCCTTCCAGGTTCAGCCCCGGGACTGCAACTTTCTCCCCCCCCCCCCCCCCCCCCCCCAACCGTCAGGAAATGGAATTCTGGGAATTGAAGTCCCAACTCATCCAGAGGGTGGCAGGTGAGACTCTCCTAAAGTGATTTTAGAATTTAGAATAGAATGAGCTTGGAACTTGGAAGGGGACCTTGGAGGTCTTCTAGACCAGCCCAGGGCCACCTGAACAGCATTATGGGCCCTGGGCAAAACAGTGTACTGGGGCCCTTACGACAACTACTCACAGGAATTAAAAATGTAAATGGTCAATAAAATTAAACACATATTTGCATGTTAGTATCAATTTAAAAATGCAGTAAAATGTAGTAAATATGTTGCTGTATTTATATGACACAAGGTGCATTGAAGGGTTAACATACACAGATTAGTAAGGGGCCCCTATGCTCGTGGGGCCCACAGGCAAATGCCCATCAGGCCCATGTGTTAAAACAGCCCTGATCCAGCTCCATGCTCAAGCAGGAAAATGTGCACTATTTTTAGATAAGTGACTGTCTAGATTCTTCTTCAAAACCTCCAGTGATGGAGCACCCACGATTTCTGAAGGCGAGATGTTTCACTAGTTAATTGTCCTCGCGGTTAGAAAGTTTCCTCTTAATTCCAGGTTGCTTCTCTCCTTGATTAGTTTCCACCCCTTGTTTCTTGTCTTGCCTTCTGGTGCTTTGGAGAATAATTCGACCCCCTCTTCTTTGTGGCAGCCCCTCAAATACTGGAATACTGCTATCATGTCGCCCCCAATTCTTCTTTTCTTTAGACCATCCAAACCCAAATCCTGCAGCCGTTCTTCCAATGTTTTAGCCTCCAGGCCTTAGTTGCCCTTCTCTGAACTTTTTCCAAAGTTTAGAGAAGATTGATGATGATCAAAGGTTCCTTTTGAAAGAGAGATTGCTCCTTTGAAATCGGAGGTTTGCTGTGGGCCCGGGACCTCCAGAAGCGAGCTTTCAGTTTTCTCCATAGCGGCTGGGCCAGAAGAACTTTGGAGGTGCAATGTACGTTTTTAACTTTCTCCTCCCATCCTCTCCGAATTAGTGGTTCACCTACATTTGAGTTCCTTTCCTCTGCTTTTGCTTAGTATTGCTGAAAAACAGCAGCTCAAGTGATCGTTGTTATTATTTAGATGTAAAGATAGCCACCCACTCCAGTTGACTGCGGGTGGCTTACAAAATAAAACAGCAATTAAAACAATTACACTCATAAACAAAATTGTTCCTTTGAAAAGCATCCCTAAAACTGGAAGTTAAGCAGTTCCTAAAGATAAATGCAACGATAAAGTGTCTTTTTTTCCCCTCTTGCTCTATCAGTTCTGCTTGTAACAAGTAATTACCTAGCCAGTTAAACTGTGGCTTGTCCGTGCTACTTTCCATAGAATTGGGTGCAGAGAAGGAAGTGGATTTTGATTGCTTTATTGCCTTTTAAGTTCTTGTTGCTTAAGTTGGGAGGGTTTTCCTTTGACAGTTGAAATATGTGGTCCTAATTAACTCCCTTTGTCTAGCCAAGGTGCAAAGTACTTTTTTTTTTTTTTTACAGGTAGAAACCAAACAAAAGAGCCAATTTTGTCTATTGGTTAAGTTAACCAGGCTAGAAAGCAAGAGATCACGAGTTCAAGTCCCACCTCCGTCTTGAAAGCCGGCTGGGTGACTTTGAGCCAGTCATTCTCTCTCAGACCAACTCACCACACAGGGTTGTTGTGGGGAAAATAGGAAGAGAAAAAAATAGTCCCCGCTGCCTTAAGAAAGTTCAAAACATTCTCAAAGATCCATCTCATCCTGGGAACCCTTTTGCCCAGAACTATTACCATCTGGTAGATGGTACGGGATAATAAAAACAAGGACAAATAGGCTGAAAAACAGCTTCTATCCCAGGGCAGTAGCTCTTTTGAATTCTGCTGTATAGTGCAGTATTGGTGCGGTGACAGAGGTTTTCAGTTCAATGTGTGGAGTGTGAAGGATGTGTGTTTTTGTTTATTTTCATGGTCATGATGTGCACTGAAGATGGTGTTTGATTTAGATGCAATGACAATAAAGTAAAGTAAACTCAATTGACAATAAAGTAAACTAACTAACTAAGAGGAGGGATGTTCACTTCCCTGAGATTTGTAAAAAATAATAAATAAAAGTTCAAGCTGGCAAATGCAATTTCTGAATAAGGTGTTCCTTCTTATTAAAGCCAGTAGAAAAATCCAGCTCTCCTTCTGCCTTTGATGGCTGATTGTTCTGCAGTGTTGCTGCTACTGCTTCTCCAGGACTTTTAAAAGAACAGGACACCACCCAGTTCCCTGTTCTTGTTCAGGAACCTGGGAAATTGTAGGATACAGGGTAGTCCTCGACTTACAACAGTTCCCTTAGTGACCATTCGAAGTTACAACTGAAAACAGTGACCTTTACGACCATTTTTCACACTTATGACCGTTGCAGCATCCCCATGGTCTCGTGATTTACATGTGGATGCTTGACAACTCACTCACATTTATGACGGTTGCAGGGTCACTTTTTTGTGACCTTCTGACAACAAAAGTCAACGGGGAAGCCAGATTCACCTAACAACGCTATTACTAATTTAACAACTGCAGTGATTCACTTAACAGATGCGACAAGAAAAGGTCATAAAATGGGGCAAAACTCACTTCACAAATTTCTCACTTAGCAACATAAATTTGGGGCTCAGTTGTGGTGGTAAGTTGAGGACTACCTGTACTCATCCAAGCACCAGTAACAGCGTAGTATACTTTATTTATTTATTTGTTTAATTTATTTTATTTGTCAAGCATGCATGAGAAAACAAGTATATGTATGAACGTGACATATAAACATATAAGTATAAACAGGTATCAGTATATGCATCATAAATGAGTATGACTGAATGGCAACAGTAGGACAGGGACGGTGGGCACCCTGGTGCGCTTATGCACGCCCCCTTACAGACCTCTCAGGAATGGAGTGAAGCCCACGGTTGACAGTTTGAGATTGAAGTTTTGCGGGTTTGAGGATGTAACAACAGAGTCAGGTAGTGAGTTCCAGGCATTGACCTCTCTGTTGCTGAGGTCGTATTTCGAGTTTGGAGCGGTTTACTTTGAGTTTATATCTGTTGTTTGCCCGTGTGTTACTGCAGTTGAAGCTGAAGTAGTCGTTGACAGGTAGGATGTTGTAGCAGACAATTTTGTGTACTAAGCTTAGGTCAGACCATAGGCGGCGTAGTTCTAGGTTGTCCAGGTCCAAAATTTCAAGCCCGGTAGCATAAGGTGTTCTATTGCGAGCAGAGGAGTGGAGTACTCTTCTCGTGAAAGACCTCTGGACTCGCTCAATTGTATTAATGTCCGTTATACAGTGTGGATTCCAGGCAGGTGAACCTTGTTGGTGGCTGTGGCAACGGGGCTGCCTGTTTGCAGATATAAAATTCTACCACCAGGATTAATGTGAACTGGGGTCGTTACACCATCTGCTTTGTCTTTATGAAGGGAAGATCTAGGTTCAAATGCAGTTTGTTCATAGAGAGAAAATTCTTTATGGACACATAGAATAATATACATAGAAATCGTAAAGAGATTCTTGCTCATAAAGAATCCAGCTTGTTCATAAAGCTTTCAAAAAGAAACTGGGCCATCCTTTATTGGAAATGGTATGAGGTCTCCTGCTCGAGCAGGGGGTTGGACTAGAAGACCTCCGAGGTCCCTTCCAATTCTACTGTTCATACTGTTCATAAAATGCATGGAGCGTTTAGTGCAATTTTACTTTTGCTTTGGCTACCAAAGAGGGACTACAGAGAGTTCTTGACTGGTGACCAAGATTTGAGACCTGAATTTCTTTTGATAAGCAAGGTGGCTATTAAGCGAGTTGCACCTGGATCTTTTTTTGCCACTGTTATTAAGTGAATCACTGCAGCTGTTAAGTGAATCATGCAGTCAGTAAGCAAATCCTGCTTCCCCCATTGGCTTCGTTTGTTGGAAACCAGCTGAGAACATCTCAGTGCCAGGACGCTACAACCATTGTAAATAGATGCCAGTTACCAATCACCCGAATTCTGATCCTGTCACTGTGGGGATGCTATGACAGTCATAAGTGCGAGGATCAGTTGCAAGTGACTTAATTTTCAGGGCCATTGTAACTTCAAAATGGTCACTAAA